GTAATAAGCATTTTTTCTGCCTTTTTGACATACAAAGTGAGTTTGCGCAGCATATTTTGCAAACCTTATGTGTACTATGACTGTATAATACTTCATATGTTGCTCAGCTATGTAGGCTGAGTACAGCAATACCCCCGTATGTACCTTTGCCAGGTATATGTGGATGTTGAAGGGGCGCATTTGAGACGCAGCCATTCAGTTTTTTTCTAACTTTGAAGTTTTGCGCTGTGTCCATGTTCCAATTTGGAATAGTTTAGACGGTTGGTTATTGAGACTTCCCCACAAACACATACTATTTATTAAAGAATACACCCTGGGGTAATTCAAAAGGCATATTTTGAACCTTGGCGTGGGATAATTTTTTCTCTAGTTTGTTCCAGGTGTAGTGGTAATGAGCGTTTTTAAAATGTATTTTTTTACTTTTTATAACTTTTTTACTTTTAAAAACTAGTTTTTAAACTTTTGTTTTGCTTATAAATTTTTTTTAAACTTTCCTAAACTTTCTTAAAACTTTTTTACAGATTTAACATTTTTCTAAGCTTTTTTTTTACTGTTAACCCCTAACTAGCAGTACGCAGCACTAACAGTAAATTCCCCATTTTCCCATAACTCCCACCCACCCCAGCTAGCAAAATATATAGTTATAAAATATTTAAATTAATTAATTAAATAAATTGAACCCCTGAGGGTTAAAAAAAAAAAATAAAAGTTAATCCTCAGGGGTTAAAAAAAATTAGATCACAGTATAATACTGTGATCTCTATTTGATCGCTGTAGGCAGTGATCGACTGGCAGGGAAGGGGTTAATTTTTATTTGGACTAGGTAAAGTGTGTTTTTTTGTTTTTATTACTTAAATGTTATTAAAACATTTTTTTAAGCTTAATTTTTAACTTTTTAAAGTTTCTTTTAAAACTTTTTTTTAACGTTAACCCCTAGTTAGCCTAACGTCAAATCCCCCAATTCCCCACTAACTTCCACCTACCCCAGCTATCTAAATATATAATTTAAAAATAATTTAATTAATTAATTTAATTAATTTAACCCCTGAGGGTTAAAAAAAAAAGAATTAACCCTCAGGGGTTAAAAAAAAAATCAGATCATAGTAAAATGTAATCCCTGCCAATTGATCACTGTAGTCAGTGATCAATTGGCAGGGAAGGGGTTAATTTTTTATTAAAATGGGTAAGGGGGGGGGGACTTTAAATAAACTTTATTTTTTTTTCCAGCAGGGGGCAGGATCAGCACTGATCCGGCTCCCTGCACTTCACACAGAACCCGGAAGTGCAGGGAGCCGGTAGGTGAGTATACAGAGCACATGTGCTCGCTCCGACTTGTGGTCAGAGCGAGCACATGTGCTGGGCAGCTTGACCGGGTGCTCCCGGTATGCCTCTAATGCAGAGGCATACCGGGAGCACCATTAACCCCGCGATCGCCACGATAGCGGCGATCCGGGGTTAATTTTACCGCGTGACGGACGAGGTCCGTCACCCGTCGTTAAGGGTCTCCCCTGTGTGACGGACCTCGTCCGTCACCCGTCCTGAAGGGGTTAAGGACTGAGCCAAATGTACACGTGAACGAAACAAAATGTAAACAAAACCTGGCATTTGCACCGTAATTCACCTCTTTCAAATTAAATGCACCCACACTTATTATATATCATTTTATTCAGGGGAAACAGGGCTTTCATTTAATATCAAATATTTAGCTATGAAACATAATTTAATATGAAAAAAATGGGAGAAAATACGATTTTGTTTTATTTTTTTTAGTTCTACATGACATTTTAACTGTCAATGTCATAATACTGCTTGCTTTTACTGCAATGAAATACACATATTTGTATTCAGCAAAGTCTCACGTGTAAAACAGTACCCCCTATGTATAGGTTTTATGGCGTTTTGGGAAGTTACAGGGTCAAATATAGCACGTTACATTTGAAATTCGCCAGGTTGGTTACGTTGCCTTTGGGACTTTATAGTAGCCCAGGAATGAAATTTACACCCATAATGGCATACCATTTGCAATAGTACACAACCCAAGGTATTGCAAATGATGTATGTCCAGTCTTTTTTAGTAGCCATTTGGTCACAAACACTGGCCAAAGTTAGCGTTAGTATTTGTTTGTGTGTGAAAAAATGCGAAAAACGCCAAATTTGGCCAGTGTTTGTGACTAAGTGGCTACTAAAAAAGACTGGACATACCCCGTTTGCAATACCTTGGGTTGTCTACTATTGCAAATGGTATGCCATCAAAGGGGTAATTTTCATTCTTGGGCTACCATATGGTCTCAAAGGCAATCTGGCGAATTTTAATGTGAATAAAATGAAACACAAGCCTTATATTTGACGCTGTACCTTTTGAAAACACCATAAAACCTGTACATGAGGGGTACTGTTGTACTCGGGAGACTTCGCTGAACACAAATATTTGTGTTTCAAAACAGTAAAAAGTATCACAGCAATAATATTGTCCGTGTAATGCTGTTTGTGCGTGAAAAATGCAAAAAACTTAACTTTTACTGGCGATATCATCGTTGTAATACATTTTACTGTTTTGAAACACTAATATTTGTGTTCAGCGAAGTCTCCCAAGTAGAACAGTACCCCCCATGTACAGGTTTTATGGTGTCTTGGAAAGTTATAGGGTTAAATATAGTGCTAGCAAATTAAATTCCCTTTACTTTCGGCATGGGTTGTCAGGCAGGTCCCGCTAATTGTAATTAATTAAGATACCTAATTATGTAAAAATATTACATAAATATATATGTAGAATTAATATATGTATATAGATACGTATGTGAATGAAATGGAAATCAATTCAATCAGTTGATTATTCTTTATGTATCTGCCCCTGGCCAAATTAAGAAACAATGAGTGCACGCTCCCTGAAGTAATTCACACCAGACACAGGTTTCAGGTTGATGAATAACTTGAGGAATGTTTATTCAGGGGGGACAGCAGGTCCCTTTTAAAGCAAACTTACATCATAAGCATTGTCAGAGATAACATGAAATAATACTTTATTAATTGGTTAGGTGGTTTTCCTAATGCTCTGCCTACTAAGGGATGTCACTGAGACCATGAGGGTCTCCCCCAGGTCCCAGCGTCATCTTGTTGCACGAGGTAGTTAGTCGGTGTTATAGGCAGGCAGGGAGGGGTTAGAAGCTTCTAGTGGCCATTTTGTCTAAATATGTGTTAATAGCTTATGCACTGATTTCAGTTAAATAAGTAAATAGGCAAATATGAAACTAGAAAATATGTCAATATCTCATTTCCACAACAGTCCCCCTATTCATAGCGCCCACTCTTTGGCATCTGGATATGGTCAATCTGTATCCTCTGGAAAGGATATTGTGGTTTGGCTAAATGGTTGGGTGCAGTTTTAACAATTCTTACATTTAGCACAAATTGCACAGGATTTACAATAGTTCTGCGTTAGAGTAGTAATGCCCGGTGCTTCAAAGTATTTGTCAATCAGGGAGTTCATCAGGTGTTTAGACAGGTGGGCTGGTCCATGAGCCCATTGGACAACAGCTGGATACATATTCTTAGATAGACAGAACTTAAGATTGATGGTGTAAACATCATCTCGGAGAATGGCCCCCTACTTTTCCAACTCTGTTTTTCTTGGGGCGTCGCAGCAGCTTGTTGTTCCTTCAGGAGTCTGAGATCTGTAGGCAATGTTTGCATAGTATAAATAGGTGTTGTCTCAGTGGCCACTCTTCTGTCCACTTCCCACCCTTGTCTTGCTGTATCCTTGGCGGCTTGATCAGCCAAGTGGTTGCCTCGTGCTTCTTCTGAATTCAGTCTTCCGTGGGCTTTCACTTTGAGTACTGCCACTTCTGCTGGGAGTAGTAGGGCATCCATTAGTTCTTCAATGGCTATGCCATGTTTTACTGGAGTACCGGTAGCTGTGAGAAATGCTCTGGTTTTCCAAATTAGGCCAAAATCGTGTGCTACCCCCAAGGCATATCTTGAGTCTGTATAAATGTTGACACGTAGGCCCTCAGATAGTTTACAGGCCACTGTGAGGGCTGTTAGCTCGGCTTCCTGAGCTGATTTGGTTGATGGAAGGGCGGCTGCTTGTAATACTTGACATTCTGTGGTAACTGCATATCCAGTGTGATATTGCCCTTGTTCATCAGCAAATCTGGAACCATCCACAAACAATATCTGGTCTGGATTAGGTAGAGCAGTCTCGTGTATGGTTGGTAAATGGGTAGTTTCCATCTTCATCTGTTCGAAGCAATCATGAGGAGCTTCTGGATCTTGTTCCATGGGAGGGAGATCTTCACAGATCTCTGTGTGGTATCGAGGATATCCTGTTGTACTGCAGTTGATGATTTTCTTAGTAACTCCCAATGATTCAAGTTGCTCTTGGGTTATTGCACTCCAGGATTTGGCCATTGGGCCTAGATCCTTCCACGAGAAGTCAGGGGACTTGGTGAGGGATATGTGTGGGACGGCTGTCTCCCAATGACGGTAGAGGTGGGATACTTTTGTTGGAAGGTGCACTAGCAGGATCATGTTGCCTCTGGAGTCCCACAACAAGTCTGTCAGTGTGATGTGAATTTCTACCAGTTGAAATAGTTCTTCATAATCCACATCAGGGCCTGGGTTATCCTTGAACCATAGGGTACAATGTAACAAGTTATTTGATTGTATATCATGAGGGACTGCAAGGGTAGGTAATTGGAATTCCACTCGGGCATCTGGGTTGATGTCCAGGCTGTACCAGTACTGTGCCACTCCCCCCTTGGGAAGTGGCAGAAGAGTGGCCGGGTTCAGTGAGTAGCAGCGTTGTAGAGTAACGTTGTCGGGCAGTAGTAAAGAAGTTTGCAACCGCAGGTGATGTTGAGAAGAGAGATGCCGTGGCTGGGTCTGTTGAAGAATTGCAGAAATATCATGTGGAGCCAAGACAGTCAGGGAATGCCCAAGGACGAAGGCATTAGTTTTGTCCAGGAGGGCACAAGCTGCAAACACGACTCTCAGGCAGGAGGGGCTGCCTCTGGCAACAGGATCAAGCATGCAAGAGAAGTAGCCAATGGGTCTTTGTCTGGAGCCATGTTGTTGAGTAAGAACTCCAGAGGCGTGGCCCAGTTTCTCAGACACGAACAACTTGAAAGGCAGCTGGTAGTTTGGTAAGCCCAAGGCAGGTGCAGATGCAATGGCTTTCTTTAGGGCAGTAAAACAGGCAATGGCATGTGGTGAGAGTGAGAAAGGCTTGCTTTTCAGAGCATCATATATTGGTTGCATCAGTTGAGAAGCTTCAGGAATCCAGGATCTGCAATACGTGATGAGGCCTAAAAAGGCATGGAGAGATTGATGAGCAGAAGGAATTGGTAAATTCAAAATGGCTAAGATCCTGTACTTGGTAAGGTGACGGGTGCCATGGGAAAGACAATGTCCCAAGAAGACCACTGAGGGCCGGCACCATTGAAGCTTTGATTTAGAGCCCTTGCAGCCTTCTTCGGCTAGGAAGCAAAGGAGATCCTCATAAACTCGTTCAGCAGTCTGGAGATCATCAGCACAGAGAAGTAGGTCATCAACATATTGAAGCAGGACTACGTCTGTGTGTGTCTTTTGCGAGGGTTCCAGAACCATTGACATGGCGCGGGCAAACTGAGTGGGTGACTTCTGAGCCCCCTGAGGCATGACAGTCCATGTATATTGCTGACCTTCATGGGTAAAGGCGAAGAGGTATTAGCAGGATGGGTCCAGGGGCACACTGATAAATGCATTAGCAAGGTCCACTACAGTAAAGATTGTGGCAGAGGGTGGAACCTGTGACAATAGTGTATGTGGATTAGGGACCACAGCCGTATCCTTGACAGTGACATCGTTAACTGCGCGTAGATCCTGGACCATACGATATTGTTCAGGCTGACCCTTTTCAGTCTTTTTCTTAACAGGGAATAGGGGAGTGTTGCATGGTGACACACACTTAACGAGGGCTCCCTTGGCCAGAAGGCTTTCCACTTGCTTGGAAATTGCGAGAGCCTGAGCAGGTTTCAGTGGATACTGGGGTCTTCGGGGAGGTGCAACTCCTGGCAAAAGCATGACCACAACAGGAGGAACTTTAAGGCGACCAATATCATCATGGCCGGTGGACCAGAGTTTTGCAGGGATTTTGTCCAGAGCACTGGGGGCATGAGGGACCCTTGATTCCCCTATGGGAGATTCTAGATGTAGTAGTAAGGGAAGGGAGCAAAGCACTGAAGTGTCTTTCCGTGACAGGGGCGTATTCAGCTGAACTTGGCCGTCTGCAGTAAAGGTAATGGATGCTTGGAGGCGGGACAGAACATCAGCACCCAAGAGGTTAATGGGGCACCTGGAGGAGACAACAAACCGGGAAAACACGGAGGAGCTTAGTGAGGGGGCTACTGCGGGGGGTACCATCAACACCAACACAAGAAACATCGGTGTCAGACAGGAAAGATGGGTCAGGCAGGTCTTGTTCTCTAAGAACGCTACGGGCTGCACCTGTGTCAACTAAGAAAGTGGTGGGGTGACCCTCTACGGGTAGAACTACAGTAGCTAGGGGCCCTCCCTCATCCCCTGTAGACACTGCCATAACAGGGATGTCTGACACAGGCTTGCCAGTTACCTATTGTAGTAAATCTAAAAGGGGATTGGTCAGGGCCGGTGTAACGGCATGTAGAGGTGGACTGAGGTACGGGCCGTGGGCTGTGATTTAGCCTTGCAGTGGGACGGTGGTCCTCTTCAAGCCCAGCAGCAGGAGCTGGAGGACTAGAGTCAATCTCTGTGGGTAGAGGAGGGAATCGAGAGTACTCTGGAGGTAGAAAGTATGGGACTGGAGGATGTGGCGGTGGCCTAAAATAACCCGGAGGAAAGTAACCATAGGCTGCCGGGGATGAACCAGAATACCGGGGATGTAATGGTCTACTGCAGTCCCTACGAAAATGGCCAGGCTGATGGCAGTTATAACAGGTCCTGGCAGCCGAAAATTGGGCTCGGTTAGGAGTTGGTGCAGCTGGAGGTACATTGAAACCAGGAGCTGCCGGCACTGACCCTGTGACAATAGCAGGGGCATTGAACATCATTGGGTTTGGTCTCCTTTGTATGGGTTGCACCACTGACTCTAACCCCTTGGCTACCAGTAAAAGTGTGTCCAGGGGAATTATACGGTACTCAGGACGAGAGAGAATTAAACCCTTACGGATAGATTCCTTTAACCCAGCCACAAAGGCAGCAGAGCTGCCACAAAGGCAGCAGAGTATGAGCTTTATTGTAAGTACTAAACCCTAGATCAGAGGAAGTTTGGGTTAGACGTGAGTGATACTTTTCTACAGATTCAAGTTTTTCCTGAACAATGTCAGTAATACAGGTAGCATGGTCTGCCAGTTTATCTTGTGCCCAGGCGCGGAGTTGTTCACAGAATGTGATGCCGGATTGGAAGTCTGTATCAGTGGTGAGTGAAGCATCTGTAAAGCTTTTTTCCATAATAGGCCAGTAGGCATCACCTGCTTTGATCTCACATAAACTATAGAGATCCCGCTAGGCAGCGGTGTAGGTTTTACAGATTTGGGCCATCCTACGGTAGAAGGGCATGGGTTGTTTCTCTGGATCAGGGAGAGAGGTGACAAGGGTGGCAGCTTGTGAAGGGTTGAAAGTAACATACATGGGAGGGGCTCCTGCTGCGGCGGCGGGTACATGGAGATGCACTCGTGCTGCAGGCTGTATCGGAGAGGGTCTATTACCCAGGGGAAGGGATAGGCCATTATCATCAATGTCATCATCCCCTGGAACGGCACGATCCTCCTGGTAGGCGGCAGAACCCAGGAAAATCGGGCCTGGGACGGCCGGGGTGATGGGAGTCTGGGGAGCGAGTGCCGCGTTATGTGGACTGCCCAATTGTGACGTTGTGGGGTGGTCACCTGATGCCGCTGGGGAAACACCCACAGCGTAGGTTTGGGCTGACGTAGCTGGTTCTTCAGAGCCAACCACCATGAGGGGAAAAGTGGGACTTGGGTCTGAAGCACACGGGGCGGGAGTAGGGGCCGGGCCAGAGGGGATGACATGGGACTGGGCGGGAGGCTGGACCAGAGCGGAGAGGACGGGGAGGAGGGGAGACAGTTCAGTGGGGAGAGAGGTGGGAAGAGGGGAGGGGTCCACAACGGGAGGGGCTTCGGGGAGCAAGGGAGGAAGAGGAGGAGCAGGATGACGGGAAGGCTCGAGGGCGGTGGAGAGGGCTGTGAGAAGGGAAGACACCAGACTAGAGAGGAACCGGAAGTATTAGTGGTGGGGTTAGGAAAAGGAGCGGAAAATATAACAGCAGGAGTGGTATTAGTAGCAGGGTCAAAGGGAGTATCAGAGATGACAGGGACTGGGGTCAACGGGGCGGGATCGGATGCAGGGAGGATAGATGGTGGAACAATGGGGACGGGCGGTGACTTTGGCCGGGGTGGTGGACAGGGAGGTGGAGGAGGGACCGGAGGCTGGGAGGGGACTGGGAGGTCAGGCTGGGATGGAACTGGATCGGGGGAGGGGAACGGCTGGGGCATAGGGACAAGGGGGAAAGAGTGCAATGGTACTGGATAGTAATAAGCTCCGTCAGCTCCGAGCACAGGACATAAGGGGGTGGGACCATGTACTACGCCACTGGGAGGCGGCGTCTGCGTGTTAACTGGGGAAGATGGGCAGGAGCTACTCAACACGGTCTGGGCACCATCATAGGGCGGTGGCCGGGAATGGTCAGGGGAAACATTAGTATTACAATCATTTCGATGGTACACATAAAGCGTTTGTCCCTCAAACTCTAGCTCTTCCTCCGTCCAACCCTTCCGCTTAAGTCCTCTAGCAACCCGATACCAAGCCTCTACTGCTTTGGTTAACCCATTATCTGACAACCACCCTTCCTTGTCCACAAGCAACTTCCTCCAAAACTCAGGTTGTAACCTACCACCAGGCGGCAACTGAAAACCACAAATCTTAGAAATTTTCTTGATTTTTAACATTGCCTCCTCCCCGCCATTTCCTTCACAATATCACAAGCTAGAAGCCCTTTAGCTGGTCTAGCATGTTCTTGCCCCATCTTGACCAAGCGAGGTCTGCCAAGTAAAGGGGACCGGGTGAGAGGGAAGAAAAAGTAGGAAAGTCTACAGTGCTCGACTGCCACGGGGGACCCGTGCGTCTTCCCAAAACGTAGACTAGTCACGATGCTCTGCGCACCCGGGATGGTGACTAACACAGCTCTGGGCAGCAGAGACAGGACAGATACAGAATAAGGGAGAAAATGAATGTGGCAACACTAAGCACTAAACATTTGCAGAAGTCGCATACATAGAAATGGGTGTACACTCCAGAATCAAGAACAAACCACACTACACACACACACAAACACCAAGGGTACCCACACTGTAACAACAATTAAACAAAATCCACAAAATAACAGAGAGCAATATGGCCATGTACATAATCAAACAATGCAATAAAAATCAAATAACATTCCCAGCCCCTTTTTCCAGGCTGTCAATAATTCCCCAACCCGATCTCACGGGTGGTCCCCAGCGCTGTCACAATTCCCCAACCCTTTTACATGGGTGGTCCCAGCCCTTCTCCGGCTGTTGCGTTCCCTGCCCGCTAGGAAGTCAAGCTAAAATTTTAAAAAGAAAACACATGCACCGGCCGTCACACACATTCATACAAGCACTCAGAAGGCAGATAGACAATCGACAGGTTCGTTAAAAAGAGGCACCGGATAAAATATTACCTGTTTAGTATCCTTCTGGATGCCAGAAGCGGACGCGGAGGCAGACCGACACAAAACAGGAGTATACAGACAACGCCTGTATGGTGGAGGTGATCAGGCTCCGGAGGTCCGCTCTGGTCCGTTGGTTTCAGGCCCTCCGAACCGGCAAATCCGGTGCCCCACGTTGGGTGCCAGTTGAAATGGAAATCAATTCAATCAATTGATTATTCTTTGTGTATCTGCCCCTGGCCAAATTAAGAAACAATGCGTGCACGCTCCCTGAAGTAATTCACACCCGACACAGGTTTCAGGTTGATGAATAACTTGAGGAATGTTTATTCAGAGGGGACGGCAGGTCCCTTTTAAAGCAAAATTACATCATAAGCATTGTCAGAGATAACATGAAATAATTCTTTATTAATTGGTTAGGTGTTAAGTGGTTTTCCTAATGCTCTGCCTACTAAGGGTGATGTCACTGAGACCATGAGGGTCTCCCCCAGATCCCAGCTCCATCTTGTTGCACGAGGTAGTTAGTCGGTGTTATAGGGAGAGAGGGGTTAGAAGCTTCTAGTGGCCATTTTGTCTAAATAAGTGTTAATAGCTTATGCACTGATTTCAGTTAAATGAGTAAATAGGCATTTTACTAACTAGAAAATATGTCAATATCTCATTTCCACAACAGTGAATATATATGTATATATATAATTTTTTTAAAATATTTTTATTTATATATAGATATATATATAGTGATATATACGTATATATTTATGTATATAGATATATATATTATTTCGTTTTACGTGTATTTTGATATAAATATATATATATTAATATCACAATACAGTTAGAACGAAATAACACATATATATTTTTTAATTATTTTTTAAATTTTATTTTTGAACGTATTTACATATAAAAATTGTTATATTATATATAAATATATATAACAATAATTATATATATATATATATTTAATCAATATCAGTCTATGTGTAATTTGATTTTAATATATATAATTATATATATATATTAATAGTAAAATACACCTAGACAGTGTATGTGTTTGTATGTATATGTGTATATATATATATATATATATATATATATATATATACTTAGATCATATATATATAAAATATATATATGATCTAATTATATATATATATATTTTTTACACTTATTTAACTTTTATTAATTTAATTTATTTTATTTCCAGCCAGCAGGGGGACCACCTGTCATTACAGGCAGCCCTCCCTGCTGGCAATGCAAGGACCTCACTCTCACATGGCGGGGGGCTGCCAGGGGGTCTGACGTGCTGCGGGGGGCTCCCTGGGAGTCCCCCCAACCGCGATCGCCGGCGTGGTACTGCCGGCGACCGGGTAAGTAAAGAAAGACCGGAGGGCGTACTATTACGCTCGGCGGCGTTTAGAGCCGCCTAAAATAGGGCGTAATAGTACGCCCTCTGGTCTTAAGGGGTTAAGCTTAAAGGGATTCTATAGTGTAAAGAATACAACATTGTATTCCTTACACTATAGTTCCTTCTAGTCCCGACGCCTGACGTTGCAAGGGTTAACACTTACCTGATTCCAGCACCGATCTCTCTCAATGCAGGGTCTTTACTCTGCCTCTGCCTCCTCTGATATCACCTGATGATGGGTGTGGGGGCACTAATACACATGCGCGGTGAGTGCCGTGAGCACATTAGGTACACTCCATAGGAAAGCATTGCGCAAGGACATCCAGCGTCAAGCAACCAAAAGTTGCCTAGTCCTGCAAGGTAATCATTGCAGTTTTTCAAAAACACAACTAAGAGGGACAGGGACACTGCACCCAGAACACTTCAATGAGCTGAAGTGGTCTGATGCCTATCGTGTTCCTTTAATGAAGTGGTTTTGTGTATAAGCCATGCCGCTGCAGATTTATTGCTAAATTCTCTGCCATTTTGGAATTCAGTTCCTGTGTTTATGAAGCCCTAGCAAATTCTTCCCTGACTGAGACCCACACTGCCTCCATACACACTTCTTAAAAAAACAAACTTTAGTGTGAAGGTAGTACTCCCTGCAGAAGTGTTGATGATTTTGACATTGGGGAGCTGTTGTTGATGGTTCAGTACCTGGTCACACCACATTAAGGTGATAGGCAATGTGTTGTTTTCCCAAATCGTTGCACACACTGCGAGTAGGTGGATGTCTTGCACAGCTGCCTGTGGGGTCCATGTTAGCAGTTTTTAATGCTATGGCAGTATCATAGAAGCAGCGCTTAATGGAATTATTATAACTGCAGATCAGCTAGTGAATAATCTGCTAAAGGTAAAGACTTAAAATAGACAGTAGTTGTTCCCCAAGTATTCCATGACATTGTGTGCAAGGCAAGATATTTGTGGGGGGAGGGGGTCACTAATTAATGACTAAGTGTAGGTGTCATGCAAGCTTAAAAATTCTGGGTTCTCCAACAGTGGGGTGGGGGATGTTGAACCGAATCTGGTCTCACTGTGGAACCATGAAGTGTCTGTCAATTGTTAGTGTGTTTAGCTCCACAAATCAGCTATTTTAGCCTGTGACTTGCAATTCCCTAATTCTTTGTGCCTAATAAGCCAACTTCAGTGTGTAAGAGGCTTGACAAAAAAAAATAAAAAATATATATATATTTTCCGCCCTTCAAACACTAGCACTACACTATTGCGATACTTTCTTAATGCAGGGTTATTTTAATGCTTTTCCAATGTATGCTTAGATAAAATGAATTTCCTTGTAACAGGCATTGCTCTAGACAGCTTATTTGGGGTCCTGCCTGCTGAAGGGAAATCCGGTCGCTCTGCGCATGCTCCTTCCTTTCCTGCTCAGGCCGCCTAACGAACCGCCGCGGTGAGTGTACGGTGATCCCCAAATCCCTATTATATCCCGGCCATCCGAGCAGCCCCAGCCCTTAAAGTCCATATATCGCTGTGACAGACCCAGCTCTAGCTAATAAGGTGGATATTGCTAGGAGTGCCTTTTATTTGTGTGAATTATTGACTAAGATTCGGAGAGATAGGCCGCGGTCTCTGCCGGCTGGCAGTGGAGCTGTATGGCTGGCAGGTTAGCCGACCCTATAGTAAGAGTAATAAAAAGGTTTTACGCGTGTTCTGGAACCGGTGCGTTCTATAGGTAACCGCATACTGCCAGCTCTTATAAAGTGTTACCTGTACTGTCCGGCCATGGTGACCCTGCCTCACCCATTCATCGATATAAAGAAAATACTTGTTTTCAGACCTGTAAGTTGCTCCCGGAAGATTCAGCTTCCAGGCGACAGCATGGGTTTAGCTAGCTGTGCACTCACTGTGTCTTGCAGGCTGTGTTCTGTTCATGGTGGTAGTGGAATGTATTGTTATGTGAATGTCTAAACGTGGGCATGCTGCTTTTGGTTACTGTATTTTAATCCGGAATAAACTGGCTGGTAAACATCAAGTTGTAGAAGGTTCGTTTTGTTGCAGTTGATTGTAAACCACTGCAACTTGAGATGTATTTTTCCCAATTTGATGTTTGGGTAGCACTTTTAGCAAAGGTTTAGCAGTTTCTACAGAACCACACCTAAGTATTCAGGAACAAAATTTGCAGGGATGATGGAAGGTTTTTAGTGCCATATTCTGATTCTTAAGATATGAATCAGAATCCAGCTACAATTGCCATGAACCAGGTAAATGCACAGGAGTGGACAGTTAAAAGGCATTCATCTGTGTTGTACGAATTGCAGTTTTCCAGGAGCAATAGACAAATCATGTTTTTACGTAAGTCTGTATATTCATATGGACTGAGTTTAACTTGATTCACCATAGCGTGCATGCGCACCTTCCCTGAAATAAAGGTTAACTGGGAAAACATTTTTACTTGGTTCTCTGTGGAAGCACCTTTAGTGGCTGTCAAGAAGGCCATTATATGAGTATTTAACCCTGCAATGTAAGTGTTTCCATGTCTGCTAAATGGAATTTTTTTTTTGTATTGAAGGGTTAAAACTAAAGGACTACAGCACTCAGACCTCTTTTGAAATTGAAAGGAAGTAGTATTTTTGGTGGTATCTATCAATTCTACATTTTAGCACTGTGCCACTTGGAATGATGAATGGTTTAAAAAAAAAAATGCTAGTGTGTAAAAGGAAATCCGTTTGTGCTAGATCGATTCTATGATGCATACAGTGTATTACAAAAAACACAATATGTCATGCAAAGTGACTTCTCTTCAACTTATCTTAAGTTTAGCACTTTGTAATTCTGAGTTTAACACTTCCCTTTCCTTGTTGCAGATGTTGATGCCCAAAAAGGATCGTATTGCCATCTATGAGCTCCTGTTTAAGGAAGGAGTAATGGTGGCCAAGAAGGATGTTCATATGCCAAAGCATCCTGAGCTGGCTGACAAGAATGTACCCAATCTTCACGTTATGAAAGCTATGCAGGTAACAGCTGCCTTCCTAGCACATTGTTTCCCTGTTTTTTGAGACACTTTATGTTCACAAACTTATTTCATTTTACACTGATTGTTTTTCAAAACTAAATGTTATGTGACATATGAAAAAAGTCAGCATATACTTTAAGCACACCATGCTAAGTTAATTACCTAAAATAACTAATCATCCAAGTCATCTTAGTTATTACCATTATAGTGTAATGTTGTAGTTATGGTGCCCTTGCTCCATCCCAGAGCAAAGAGTCAAAGTATTTGCATGCAATGGTCTCCTCTTTCAGGAGAGCCAAATATGATCTGCCCTGTGTAACAAACTGTGTTGCACAAGGCACTATATTCCCTCTCTGCCTACCCCACGTTCCCACCATCCCTTCAATCCCTTGTCCCAGCCCACTTGCTTGCCTACCCAAAGAGCGCGCTCTCTCTGGTGCTACCTAAGTGGAGATATCCACCAGAGAGAGATGCAAGCTCTAGCCTCTGGAGCCGTGAGGCGACTTTACTGCAGCAGTGTCTGGTTCGCGCCCTTTCTCCCGGTGGCTGACACAAGTTAAAGGGTTCCGCTCACTGATCGCCGCGTGGTTTTGGCGACCAATAGGAGACGGAGCCAGGATGCAAACTGGATTCACGCCCTTTCTCCTGATAAGCAGGCGCGAGTTACAGGGATTAGCTTGGAACCCCTCCTCTCCTAAGTGCTGATTGGTCGTGTTGTGGTTTAGTAAAGTTCCTGAAGTAAACCTTGGGGGATTTCTGTGAAATTCGTGTACATTTATGTAACTTCATTTATAGAACACTGTATACACAACTGATCTTTTCTACTTTTATATGCTAGCTGTGCTTCCAATGCAACCTCCCAGTATAATCGTTTTTGAGTGCTTTGCCTTCTTACCTGGTGTCTAGGCTCATTGCCTCCACTACTGTTCTGTAAGAGCCAGAATCTCCTGCTTATGAGCTTCTGATATGTCCTACGCTGCAGGACTTGGCTCAGACTGCAGTGCCTGCACATCTCACTCACCAAGCTGTAGTGGAGGCAGAGAACGATACCCGACATACCACATTTACGAAGTCAAACTGTTTAGGTCGCCATGGCAGTCCTGGCACCATAAGCACTACAGTGCTTTGGAGTGCTCCTTTTAAGTGCTTGAAGTGAAGAGGTTCCAAAGATTATGAATTTTATAGTGCCATAATTGTTTGTCATTTAAGAACAGACTTGTTAAGTTGAAAAATGTTCTAAAGTGCATCTTTGGACAGTAAGGTTTTTGCCAGGTTAGGAGTAGTTTGAGATTGAGTGAGTTATGATGAAGCAGGGTGGACAAAAATCAATGCTAAAAAAAAAAGTGTTTTGTATATTTAAATTGTTGATAGTTTGGTATTTAAGATACTATAGACCAAAGATTAGTGAGCTTGAAATATGGATTAGTTATGTAGTATGAGGCTGTATATTCATGCAATATTTTTAAATTTGTGGTAAATTAAATTCATCCAAATTAAAGCGGCACTGTCATACAGTAGGGACTACTTTGTATGGTCGGAACTACCGCCATCTTGTAGTGTCAGCTGCAGGGAATTGGCTCTAATACTCCATAGACCTCAATGCTGTACTTTTTGCTCATGCACAAGAGTACAGCAGTGATGTCTGGTCCTTGCACTGAAGGAGCTGGGGCAGAAGATGACCCACCTGAAGAAGATGGCAGTGTCCGCATGGGATGGGTAAGTTAAACTCACTTTTGCCTGTCCCCGGCAAAATATTTAATGTGTATAGGTTCTTGTTGTGAGAGGAGTATGAGGTAAGTGTCTATGTAGTGTGTAGCCTCTGGGATGTAGCTATTTGTGTGCTCATATGGGCTATAGTGTGTGCAAATGTTCAGAAGATCTAGAGCTACCCAGACTAAACTTATTTTTTTTTTCTTTTTTATAAACCGCACATTTTTAGGCATTGTGACTAGCTCACGTCTTTGTGAGACATTTGTAACTATAATTGTGTTGAGAAACTGATCTGAATGTTTGCAAAATAATTACAAATCTTTATTTTTTTTAATTTCTCCTATTTCAACAGTCTTTGAAGTCTCGTGGCTATGTAAAGGAGCAGTTTGCTTGGCGTCACTTCTACTGGTATCTGACCAATGAAGGTATCCAATATTTGCGTGATTTCTTGCATCTGCCCCCAGAGATTGTTCCTGCAACATTGAGGAGAAGTCGTCCTGAAACTGGCCGACCCAGGCCTAAAGGTAAATATACCATACACAGTGCCCTGGTTAGAATACATGTGTGACGCTCATAATAAAAGCTGGCACTACCACTGACTAAACATAGCTCATACTACCAGTGAAACATTTCCCTTCAGTTTTTTTGTTCAATTCTTTTTATTTTTTATTGGCAAGTGATATTACATATACAGTCATTAGTTAAGATACATATTGCCTGTTTCAATTAACAATTGAACATTTACAATCCCATCTTCCATATTGTATGTAATGTATAGTACATAGTGTTCTCCATACCCTTCCCTTGAGAGTTTTATGTCCATTCTGATCATACATAGACTGTGCTAGTATAAGGAGGCACGCTACACATGTATTTTTTTTTTTATTTAAACAAATTTTTATAGGTTTAAAAACAAAAACCTGCCAAGATTGAAAGGCTTTTAATATTGACATGGTGTCGAAGCCTAAAGAACGATCATGTGACACAGTAAGGAGCTATAGAAGCCCAATGAAATAAAACATAGCATATGTAAGATAAGATCATTGATATATTGCATACGCTACCTAAACACATAATTAAAAAAACATATTTGGGCATAAAGTAAAAGAAAGAAATGGCTAGTGGAACATAAAAGACACAACTTACATCTGAAAAGGGGGGGGGGGTTAACCCCGGTTAACCCCTTAGTGACCAGACTGTTTTTCAATTTTCTTACTGTTTGTGTTAAGCTGTAAATTTTCTTTTTACTCGTTTACTGTACCCACACATATACAGTTTTTCTCACCATTAAATGGTCTTTCTAGATACCATTATTTTCATTATATAATTTACTATAAAAAATTATAAAATATGATGGAAAAAATAATAAACGTTTTCTTACTTTGACCCACAAGATCTGTTGCGCATCTACAACCGCCCCAAAAAACACCTGTCCCAACTAGTGTCTAAATTTTGTACTGCGTCTAGAAATACCCAATGTTAACATGTTCTTAGGTTTTTTGTTTTTTTTTAAACGAAAGTTACATTGCAACACTGATATCTGTCAGGAATCCCTGAATAACCCTTCACATGTATATTAATTTTTTAAAAGAAGATAACCTAAGGTATTAAACGTGGGGTATTTTGACTCTTCTCATGCAACCATTTTACCACCAATCTATGCCAAATATAAAATAAAATTTTCCAACTTTGAATTTTCACAGCTGGTCATCATGCACCGATGTCCTATTTAGGACATTTTTGAAGCCGGCCAATGTAATTTACTGCCATAAAACCATATATTTTTGAAAAGTAGACACCCTAGGGCAGGGGTAGGCAACCTTTTAGCAGCACTGTGCCGGTATAGGATTCTTATGTCCCGTAGCGTGCCGGTCCTTTTATTTTTATTTTTAAATTGAGGTGTGTATGCTGCCGTATTCTGCTTGTGTTATTTATACTGTTATTGCTTTGTATCGTTGTATTTGTGAGTATTATATTGTATATGTTCATGAGTAGATTGTGGTATCGTGTATGATACATATGAATGTGGGCTGTGTATGGGGGCAGCTTGTGGAATTGTGTGTGTGTGTGGATGGATATGTCACATTGTGTGTTTAGTAGGGTGTGTGTGTGGGGGCTGTTTGGGGTATTGCATGTGAGAGGCTGCATGTGGGGTTGTGTGCATGTATGTGGATTGTTAGTGGTGTTGCGTTTGTGCGGATTGTGTGTATGTTTGCGTGTAGGCTGTCCGTATTATTTGTATGAGGGGGAGGGTCTTTCTGCATTTCTGTGTATATCTGGCAGTGTAGGTGGCTTCCCTGGGTTCCAGTGGGGACCATGTTGGCCGGGTACAGGTCAAGGACAGGAGCTGCAACTGCGAGCTGCACTACTACTGTGTGGATTCCCATTCACAAGTGCTGGAATGAAGTGCTCTGAGATCACTTCCTCTACGTGCTGCAATGCATAAATTGAGGATTGTCCTTCACCATCTTTTTGTATTAGCAGATACATGAAGTTTTACTGGGACTCCTGATAGGCCAGAGCCTGTTTGGCTCTAGCAGCCTTGAGTGCCGTGCAAAGGCACCGCGAGTGCCGTGCGTGGCACTAGTGCCGTAGGTTGCCTTCCCCTACCCTAGGGTATTTCAAATGGTGGTATTTTAACACTTTCCATGCACTAATTCTACCACCAGTCTTTGTCAAACTTTGGGGTAGTCGTTTTTTATTTTTTATTTTCTCACATTGTACTTTAGGCATGGATTCTCAGTTCCTGTTATGTGTTACTGCCAAAGAACACTCCAATATGTGTTCAGCAACATCTCCTGAGTACAACAGTTCCCCTAATGTACAAGCATAGCTATTACTGCGCGAATTAAGTGACAGGATAACAGGGTGAAAAAAAGATTCACTTAACAGTGAACTATGTATACTACCATAGAAAGACTATAGTAATAGCTATTCTTGGCTACTTTGAGCCATTATAGAATGTACAGGGATTTCAAAGCCCAAGACATGAGAGAGATATATAGATATATAGATATATAGATATATAGATATATAGATATATAGATATATAGATATATAGATATATAGATATATAGATATATAGATATATAGATATAGATATAGATATAGATATAGATATATATATATATATATATATATATATATATATATATATATATATATATATATATATATATATATATATATATATATATATATATATATATACTACTCCCATTCCCCAGCTTCTTCAATTTGTGTCTAATTGTAACATCCAATATTGAATAAAGTTTCTACTTCTTTTGATCCATTTTGAATCAAGTTTAGCTGAAGGAATTGTACTTATGTCCTCCCAAGTTTTGGAATTCTTTTAGTTAGCTGAATATATTTTATTCCTTTTTTTTTTTTTTTTTTAAATACCAGCTCAGGAATCCCCCACTTCCAGGGGGTATTCTATTTATTTTTCTATTTAATCATTTCAAGGGATCAGGCCCATGGTGGATCTGGTACCACCATATTGACCACTTTTTCCTAAACCCAAGAAGTTTGAATTTGGTGACATTGTTCTTTTTGAATTATGGGTAACTAAATTCCATAGACAATGCTTCTTGCATAGATTACAGTATAATCTCTCTTCCTGTCTTCTTCACTCATTTGGATATTTCAGTGGGAAAGCAGAGTATATCACAAAACTTTGACGAGCAGTGATATATGGAGTAAATAATACAGCACTGGTAGCAGTCTGATTTGTGTAAAGATTTAGAAGACTTCTGCTTGAGCTAGTTTCACTTAATCGCTTTTCTTGCTTTTTCGTTATGTTTGTGTATGGATCTATAAATGGCATACATTTTCCATTAAACTTTTTTGAGTGAGGCTTTGGCTTATAACCAGTGTTCTGTTTGCAAATCACTGGAGTTACAAAATGCTGTGCAGAGTAGCATAATGGTGGTAGTTTTTTTTGTTTTTTAAAATCTTTTTCCTCAATCCACATTATGGTTCCGATATTTGTTCATAAAGCGTATATTTTCGTAAGGCATGCATTGAACAGCTCATTTAGAGAATAGATTATAGATTTAGAGAATAGATTATACATCACAAGAGTGCTCTAAGCTGCCTTGCGCGTGGGTATTTCTGTGAATTGAGGTGTTTTTTTGTTTTGGTGTGTAAGCCTGTCGGTGTGTCGCATGTGTGGAGTGGCCACAGGGCTGTGGGTCGTAGGAGTGGTACAGGTGGTAGGCATTCCCGTGGCCAGGTATATGCCCCTTCCCTCAGAGAGCGTTTGTGCGATCTGTGCATCTTTTAGGGTTAGGGAAGGGATTGTGGGGGAGAGTGCCTGTAGTGATGTCCGTAGGTGTCTGGACGGTCTTGTAAGTGAAGGTATGCCGTGCGTGTCTGCGCGTGGTGAGGTAGGGCCTACTGTGTAGTTCCTGGACTGAACGGCAGTGTACTGGTATTGCTCCACTCTGTGCCCCCTCTAGTCAGAGACGCCTGCAGAAGACTGAGTGGGTGGAAGTGTGGCAGTGTTGAAAAATGTATTATAATAAGTGTGAGTCCATCTTATTGCCCTGATGTCAGCAGGTTTGGTGGGGAAAAACAACTGTTGTGAGCTCCGGAATAGATCCCCAATGTCCTGTCCCGGCAGGCTCTTGTCAGGCTTGGGTTTTTATTTTTGCAGCCCATCCTTGGTCTAGTGTTCAGGGAGTTGGGTTTTGTGAATGTTGAACTTACATTACCCATAAATCCCTGCTGGTTAGGACTTTATGGTAAATGCTTGGAATGGCTGAAAAAACAAATAGAAAAGGGGTGGTATATTTCATTAATTGTTACATTTTGTGTTTTGAAAGATGTTTATTTTAAGATTTATTGAACCACAAGATTTTATTTTTTTATTTTTTTCCTCAAAGAGCAGTTGATTACTTCTGCGGATTGTATCTTTGCATCTTGTCTTTAACTGTTAAGTAAATGTTAAAATCTGTTTTGATATCAATAGAGCTACAAAACAAGAATTTTAGAGTTGTTTATAGCAAGCAATATAATTTCAATCCTTCCTGTCATCTTTGCAGGTCTAGAAGGCGAGAGACCTGCCAGATTGTCCCGTGGTGAGACTGACAGAGATACATACAGACGTAGTGCTGCTCCACGTAAGTGTCTGCATGAATACCATTAAGATGAAGTGATGGTGACCACACTGATCTGTGAGCTAACGAAAATATTTGTTTCCATAGCTGGGGCAGATAAGAAGGCAGAGGCTGGTGCTGGAGCAGCAACAGAATTTCAGTTTGTAAGTACAGTGCAATGACTTGTAACATACAATTACTTATTACTTTCTAACAAACACACATTGTAAATGGAGAAGAGATAGCTGAAAGTATTCACAATATAGAGATCCATTTTTGTGAATGTCTGGTTTCTAAAAATTTATTATTTTTTTTTTTAACACACAGAGAGGAGGATTTGGACGTGGTCGTGGACAGCAGCCCCCACAGTGAAACTGATTACTTTCTTTTGTGAATAATAAACCTTTGTGAACAACACAATATGTATTCATTTATTGTTTTTACATAAGGAGACAGGTTGGAAGTGCCTACTAACCATTAACCCTTTCACGATGTTAGGGTGTGCTATGCCGTCCTACAAAAGGAGAGCTTTAGCGCCACTAGAGCTGCATAGCATGTCCTAACGATTGGGCCCTTCCTCGGCTTTGCATACACTCCCTCCTCACCGGATTCGATCGCGGGACTGTGACAAATGTGGCAACCCCCTGCAGCTAGTCAGTTGTGATCACATGACTGATCAGCCGAATTGCAAGATTGACTGCAGGCGACTTTCTAGTTTGTTAGGTAGATCCTCCCTCCAACATATAACTAATAAAACCACAACTGTAAACATGATAAATATAAACCTAGAATTAAATGTGTATATAAACTAATTCTACATGTGTATTTATGTAATTTTCAATAATCATGTGATTGTAATAATTCCATATTGGGGGACATATCTGACAATCCAGACAAAGTCCAGAGAATTTAATTTACAGAGCCTATATTTTACCCTGTAACTTTACAAAAAAAAAAACTAAAACCTATGCCTGTTTGGTACTGTTGTGCTTGTGAGACATCGCTGAACACGAATGAGTGGTTTGGAGCAGTAAAACTTAACCCCTTAAGGACGGAGCCAAATGTACACGTTGTGAACAAAACAAAATGTAAACAAAACCTGGCATTTGCGCTACATGTCTGTCCAACCGTAATACACCTCTTTCATAGTAAATGCACCCACCCTTATTATATATCATTTTATTCAGGGGAAACAGGGCTTTCATTTAATAGCAAATATTTAGCTATGAAACATAATTTAATATGAAAAAATGGGAGAAAATAAGATATTTTTTTTTTTTGTTCTACATGACATTTTAACGGTCAGTGTCATAATACTGTTTGCTTTTACTGCAATAAAATACACATATTTGTATTCAGTAAAGTCTCACGTGTAAGACAGTACCCCCTATGTACAGGTTTTATGGCGTTTTGGGAAGTTACATGGTCAAATATAGCACGTTACATTTGAAATTGAAATTCGCCAGATTGGTTACGTTGCCTTTGAGACTGTATAGTAGCCCGGAAATGAAATTTACACCCATAATGGCATACCATTTGCAATAGTAGACAACCCAAGGTATTGCAAATGGGGTATGTCCAGTCTTTTTAGTAGCCATTTGGTCACAAACACTGGCCAAAGTTAGCGTTAGTATTTGTTTGTGTGTGAAAAATGCAAAAAACGCCAATTTTGGCCAGTGTTTGTGACTAAGTGGCTACTAAAAAAGACTGGACATACCCTGTTTGCAATATCTTGGGTTGTCTACTATTGCAAATGGTATGCCATCATAGGGTTAATTTTCATTCTTGGGCTACCATAGGGTCTCAAAGGCACCGTAACCAATCTGGCGAATTTTAATGTGAAAAAATGAAACGCAAGCCTTATATTTGACGCTGTAACTTTTGAAAACACCATAAAACCTGTACATGAGGGGTACTGTTGTACTCGGGAGACTTCGCTGAACACAAATATTTGTGTTTCAAAACAGTAAAAGTATTGCAGCAATAATATCATCCGTGTAAGTGCTGTTTGTGCATGAAAAATGCAAAGAACTTCACTTTTACTGGCGATATCATTGTTGTAATACATTTTACTGTTTTGAAACACTAATATTTGTGTTCAGCGAAGTCTCCCGAGTAAAACAGTACCCCCAATTTACAGGTTTTATGGTGTCTTGGAAAGTTATAGGGTTAAATATAGTGCTAGTAAATTAAATTCTCTTTACTTTCGGCATGGGTTATCAGGCAGGTCCCGCTAATTGTAATTAATTAAGATACCTAATTATGTAAAAATATTACATAAATATATATGTAGAATTAATATATGTATATATATACTTATGTGTATATATATGTATATGTATATATATATATATATATATATATATATATATATATATATATATATGTGTGTGTGTAATACAATACACAAGATCCAGCGCACTCACCTATCCACTAAACAGCAACTTCAATGTTGAAAGATTTTATTTGTTTTTTTAAAAACACCTAATCTAGGCAAAAATAATGGGGGTTTAGTTACATTATATGATCATACATTGCATAAGCCTGCCACAACGTCATGTGTGTGTGTGTATATATATGTGTGTGTATGTATATATATGTGTGTGTGTATGTATATATATGTGTGTGTGTATGTGTATATATATATATATATGTGTGTGTGTATATATATATGTATGTGTGTGTGTATATGTGTGTGTGTGTGTATATCTATATAATTTTTAAAAAATATTTTTATTTATATATAGGTATATATTTATGTATATAGATATATATTTTGTTCTACATGTATTTTGAGAGATATATATTAATTTCACAATACAGTTAGAACGAAATAACACACATCTATATATTTAATTATTTTTTTAATTTTATTTAACGTATTTACATTTTAATTTTTTTATATTATATATAAATATATAACAATTATATATATTTAATCAGTATCAGTCTACGTGTAATTTGATATATATATATATATATATATATTAAAATACACCTAGACGGTGTACGTGTGTGTATATGTATATGTATGTATGTGTGTATATGTATGTATGTGTGTATATATATATATATATATATATATATATATATAAAATCTAAGTATATATATATATTTTTTTTTTTCACCATTTATTTGTTTTAATTTTATTTTCAGCCAGCAGGGGGGCCACCTGTCATTACAGGCAGCCCCCCTGCTGGCAATACAGAAGCCAGCTATCCCTGGCCATGTGATTGTGGGGTCCTCGCAAGGACCCCACTCTCACATGGCCGGGGGGCTTCGTGGAGGACGGAAGTGCCGCGGGGGGCTCCCTGGGAGTCCCCCCCACCGCGATCGCCGGCGACCGGGTAAGTACCGAAAGACCGGAGGGCGTACTATTACGCCCAGCGGCGTTTAGAGCCGCGTATAATAGGGCGGAATAGTACGCCCTCCGGTCTGAAGGGGTTAAGTTAAAGGACCACTCTAGGCACCCAGACCACTTCAGCTTAATGAAGTGGCCTGGGTGCCAGGTCCTTCTAGGGTTAACCCATTTTTTCATAATTATAGCAGTTTCAGAGAAACTGCTATAATTATGAATGGGTTAAGCCTTCCCCCTAATCCTCTAGTGGCTGTCTCATTGACAGCCACTAGAGGCGCTTGCGTGCTTCTCACTGTGAAAAATCACAGTGAGAGCACGCCAGCGTCCATAGGAAAGCATTGTAAATGCTTCCTATGAGACCGCTGAATTGTAGCAGAGCTCTTGCCGCTACAAGTAAGCATTCAGCTGGCGGGCGAGAGAGAGGAAATGCCCAGCGCTGGAAAAAGGTAAGTTTTTACCCCCTTCCAGAGCCGGGCGGGAGGGGGTCCCTGAGGGTGGGGGCACCCTCAGGGCACTATAGTGCCAGGAAAACGAGTATGTTTTCCTGGCACTATAGTGGTCCTTTAATATAATCTGTGAAAGGGCAGTTATTGTGTGAATGAAAAAAACATGAACACTATCTTTGGCCGGGGTTTGTGGTTACTAAAGAAGACTGGACATACCTGATTTTAAATACCATGGGTTGTTTACTTTTGCAAATGGTACACATAGATGGGGATTAATTTTCAGTCCTGGACTGCCATACGGTCTTAAAGGCAACATAGGCCCAGCAAACCAATTTGTAACGGAAATGGACCAGCCCTAGATTTGACTCTTCCAAGACACCATAAAATCTTTACACTGGGAGCATCATTGTATTTGTGGGAAATTACAGCATACAAATGTGTGTTCTAGAACTTTTAAAAAAAATTTTTTTTATATTTATCCTTTTAAAAAAAAAAAAAAAATATATATATATTTTATTTTAACTTGTTTCATATATAAATATTGTATATTTCATCAGAAAAAATTCAGTGTGGGTGCGCTTATGGTTCAACAGACATATAGCTCAAATTCTAGGTTTTGTTTTGATCTGAACAATTGCTTTTGTCCTTAAGGGGTTAAAATATACCCCAAAAAATCAACCCAAGTTTAGAGCAATCTGATCAAATTTGGAGGATATATAAATTTATTTATATTTTAAGCAACTTATTGATCAGAGAACATAGAGAATCAGGGTTCACTGACTAGGCACAACAAGAGGTTTGAAATTAGATTATGGATATGAGGTAAACTGGTTAGAGCTGGTGTATTATAAATAATGCAATTCATTAACCCCTTAACGCCGTTATGGCATTCTATGCCGTCCCGCATTAAATGGGTTTTAAAGCTGTTGCGGTGGCATAGAACGCCGTAACGGCTTTCAGCCCCAGGAGCTCCGGTGGTCTTACCTCCGCCGCAATCCTCTTCTGAAGGGCTGCCTGCGCTGCCAAATTTGTTTCTTTGGCAAATGAGGCCCCCGGGGCCATGTGATCGCTCTCAAAGAGCAATCACATGGTCCCCTATAGCTGGCTGTGGATCTGCCAGCAGGGGGACTGTCTGAAATGTCACAGTCCCCCTGCTGGTGGGAAAGTAATAAAAATAAACCTGTTTTAAAATAACTTAAGTGTGTGTGTGTGTGTATATATATATATATATAATAATATATATATATATATTTTTTTTACCTTTCTTACTGTTTGAACAAAAGTTATAAAAATGTGCACCTATGTCAAGCCAGTCACAAAAACTCTACTGTAAAATGATACTTATTGCAAAATAAGTGTTTTGGCACTGCTAGCTTGTGATTTATGTACTGCACAACAAAAAGTTAAAAAAAAATTATATATATATATATTATATTTTTTAAAATATATACATCTTATATATGTAATGTGATACGTAATGTATTTTAATGTTAATATAAGTGCATATATTAATCTTAAAATATACTTAGAATGACTATTATACATATATATTTTAGGTTTATTTATATTTGTATAATTACAATAGTAAATAAAAATTTAAAAAAAATGTAAATAAATTATATATACATATGTAATCTCATTCTAACTGTATTTTGTTATTAATACATATATATTGGTAACAAAATACACTTAGAATGACATTCTATATATATCTATATGTAGAATACAAATAACTGCAAATTTTTATATATAGATAAATATATATAATTACATAGGTATACACGTAGAATTTAAATACATATATATCTATATATATATATAAAAATTCTACGTGTATGCTTAAGTAATATTTTAACATAAATATGTGATTTAATTAATAAAAATTTGATTGACGTGCCTGACAACCCAGGAAGCAAGTACAGAGAATTAAATTCGCATGCGCTATATTTAACCCTGTAACTTTCCAAGACACCATAAAACCTGTACATGGGGGGTACTGAGGTACTGTGACGTTTTTTTTGCATTTTCCACACACGAACAGCACTTTTACTGACGATATTGTTGTTAATATGTTTCTGTTCAGTGAAGTCTCCCAAGTATAACAGTACCCCCCATGTACAGGTTTTATTATGTTTTGGAAAGTTAGAGAGTCAAATATAAGGCTTGCATTTAATTTTTTTCACATTGAAATTTGCCAGATTGGTTACTTTGCATTTGAGACCGTATGGTAGCCCAGGAATGAGAATTACCCCCATGATGGCATACCATTTGCAATAGTAGACAACCCAAGGTATTGCAAATGGGGTATGTCCAGTCATTTTTAGTAGCCACTTGGTCACAAACACTGGCCAAATACTATTTTTTTTTTTAATTTTTTTTTTTTTGCTTATTTCACTCAAAAACAAATATGAATGCTAAATTTGGCCAGTGTTGAAAAAAACAGAAAAATGGAATGTGCTATATTTGACCCTTTAACTTCCCAAAACACGATAAAAACTGTTAATGGGGGGTACTGTTGTACTTGTGAGACTTTGATAGGTGTTTTGTTAAAGCTAATGTTATGATATTTACAGCTAAAATGTCTACAAATTTTTTTAAAAATCTTAATTTTTTTTAAATTTTATTCATTATAAATTGTTTCGAATATGACTAGTTCATGAGAAATTAAAGCCCAGTTTCTCCTGAACAAAATAATATATAAGTAGTGTGGGTGCACTTAATATGAAAGAGGTGAATTACCGTTGAACAGACATATAGCGCAAATACCAGTTTTTGTTTACATTTTTGTTTTGATCAGAACGTGTACTATTGACTTCATCCTGAAGGGGTTAAAGGGAAACTTCAGTGTCAGGAAAACAATCCGTTTTCCTGGCATTGCAGGTCCCATCTCCCTCCCACCTCCCAATCCCCGGTTGCTGAAGGGGTGAAAACCCCTTCAGTGAATTACCAGAGGCAGTGCCATATCCCACGTCGCTGCTTCCTCATCCGCCGCCGCTCCTCCTCTGTATTACATCGGCCAGTGGGTGAGACTGATCCCGCCCACCGGCTGGGGAGACCTGCAACGCATTGGAAATGCTTTCCTATGGGGAATTGAGCGACGCTGGAGGACCTCACACACATACAGGTTTTCTGTGCTATGATGCAGGAAATGCCCTCTAGTGGCTGTCTAGTAGACAGCTACTAGAGGTGGAGTTAACACTGCAATAATTACACTTGCAGGGTTAAGAGTAGTGGGAGTTGGCAACCAGACCACTCCAAGAAGTGGTCTAGGTGCCTGGAGTGTCCCTTTAAGGCAATGTGGCGCTACAGGATTATTTTAGTTTACTCCCATGCTTCCTGTGGATTGACTTGTTGACCTGTTCAACAGGAATATTCTCATTTTCTCATAACTGTAAGAACAAATGATTAGAGGGATTAACCTTTTTTTCTTTCTAAACGTCTATAGTTGAGATTTGTTCTATACCTATAATTTTTGTAATCGCATTGTACAGAGAGCATAGCAAAATTATGTGTAGATTTTGTTGGCAATAAGCTAGCATGATTCACCCTATCTATTACCATGGCAATGCTCTGCACGGCACTCAAGTCACGAGAGACCAGAGAGCTGCTGTGAAGGTAAGAGCTTGCTGCGGGGCCCTCCACTGCACAGTCCCTGCCACTGGACCACCAGGGAATGCCATAAACAAAACAAACTGTTTCAAAATTAATGCCCTCTTCTCCCTCATTTTTATATACATACACACTCTGCATTCATTATATACACAAACACACACTGCATTCACTATACGCACACACTACACAAACACTCACTGCATCCATTACACATACGGCATGCATATTTTGTGCATTTACCTTAATAAAAAGAATTGCAAATAAAATAAATAAACATGTTCAGTTAAAGGAATACTATAGTCACCTAAATTACTTTAGCTAAATAAAGCAGTTTTAGTGTATAGATCATTCCCCTGCAATTTCACTGCTCAATTCACTGTCATTTAGGAGTTAAATCCCTTTGTTTCTGCTTATGCAGCCCTAGCCACACCTCCCCTGGCTATGACTGACAGAGCCTGCATGAAAAAAAAAACTGGTTTCACTTTCAAACATGTAATTTACCTTAAATAATTGTATCTCAATCTCTAAATTAAACTAATCACATACAGGAGGCTCTTGGGTCTAGCAAGCTATTAACATAGCAGGGGATAAGAAAATCTTAATTAAACAGAACTTGCAATAAAGAGAGCCTAAATAGGGCTCTCTTTATAGGAAGTGTTTATGGAAGGCTGTGCAAGTCACATGCAGGGAGGTGTGACTAGGGTTCATAAACGAAGGGATTTAACTCCTAAATGGCAGAGGATTGCGCAGTGAGGCTGCAGGGGCATGTTCTATACACCAAAACTGCTTCATTAAGCTAAAGTCGTTCAGGTGACTATAGTGTCCCTTTAACAGTAGATTTGTGTAGAAATAGTTTATTTTTTCAAAATGGTAAATGTACAGAATATCGGTAAGTCATTGGCTATCGGCCTGAAAGTTCACTGGTTATTGTATTGGCTCTAAAAAACAAAAAAATCAATATCAGTCGATCCCATATATATATATATATATATATATATATATATATATAACCTTTTAAAGATACTGCTGCAGACATAGATAGATGTTCTCTATCCCAAACGCCTGTCTATCTAAATAATAGAGTTTTTTTGGGAACTGCACCAAAGTAGAATCTAACCTGCCAACTACAACGAATACTTTCAGCTATTCAGGGGTCAGCAACCTATGGCACTCAAGGCTGTCAGAGCCAAACAGTGATTGTAGGTGGTTTACACATCTACAGCACTTAGCTCCCCGCACTTGTGAACAGAAATCCGCACTGGAGTATAGCACCCTGCAGCAGCTATTGCAGCCCCCACTGGACCCAAGGGAAGCAACCCATGCTACACAGAACTGCAGAATAAGCCTCCCCCTCATATAATATATACAAACACATCACCAAACACACAATGTGACATATCATCCACAGACACAATTCCACAAGCAGCCCCCATACATAGTAAATTGTAATACAATAATAGTAAAAACAATGTGTACTTACATAAAAATTGATAAAAATAGAATAAAGTCCCGAAAACAGTATAAAATAAACAGTAGTCCAAGTTTGATTGAAGAGATAAGTAGGTGGAATCGATGGGGCTTGTGGGATCCAAATAAATCAGGTATCCGGATAATGTGGAAGCATGCAGATAAGAGAGAGAGATTCCAATAGTGTAAAACTGTACTGGAAAGATGATGGCAGTAAAAAACAATTCTTGTCACTCACCTATTGTAGAACTTTAGCCAGCTCAGGAGTGTATAGCATTCAGTGGCATTGATCCCCCAGTGGTAGGAATAGGTGTTGGTGGGTACAGGTCCTCGGTATGAAGAAAAAGATAAAAACAAATAGTGCTCTCTGTATACCGCAATAACGGATAAAAATATTAGAAAGGTATACTACTCACATATAAGTGAGCAGGAATATACTGCTCACTTTATAGGCGTAAACATAGAATGTGACGGCAGATAAGAACCATTCGGCCCATCTAGTCTGCCCAATTTTCTAAATACTTTCATTAGTCCCTAGCCTTATCTTATAGTTAGGATAGCCTTATGCCTATCCCACGCATTCTTAAACTCCTTTACTGTGTTAACCTCTACCACTTCAGCTGGAAGGCTATTCCATGCATCAACTACCCTCTCAGTAAAGTAATACTTCCTGATATTATTTTTAAACCTTTGTCCCTCTAATTTAAGACTATGTCCTCTTGTTGTGGTAGTTTTTCTTCTTTTAAATATAGTCTCCTCCTTTACTGTGTTGATTCCCTTTATATATTTAAATGTTTCTATCATATCCCCCCTGTCTCGTCTTTCCTCCAAGCTATACATGTTAAGATCCTTTAACCTTTCCTGGTAAGTTTTATCCCGCAATCCATGAACCAGTTTAGTAGCCCTTCTCTGAACCCTCTTTAAGGTATCAATATCTTTCTGAAGATACGGTCTCCAGTACTGTGTACAATACTCCAAGTGAGGTCTCAACAGTGTTCTGTACAATGGCATGAACACTTCCCTCTTTCTACTGCTAATACCTCTCCCTATACAACCAAGCATTCTGCTAGCATTTCCTGCTGCTCTATTACATTGTCTGCCTACCTTTAAGTCATCAGAAATAATCACCCCTAAATCCCTTTCCTCATATGTTGAGATTAGGACTCTATCAAATATTCTGTACTCTGCCCTTGGGTTTTAAGTCCAATATGCATTATCTTGCACTTATCCACATTAAATGTCAGTTGCCACAATTTTGACCAGTTTTCTAGTTTACCTAAATCATTTGTCATTTGGCTTATCCCTCCTGGAACATCAACCCTGTTACATATCTTAGTATCATCAGCAAAAAGACATACCTTACCATCAAGACCTTCTGCAATATCACTAATAAAAATATTAAAGAAGAATGGGTCCAAGTACAGATCCCTGAGGTACCCCACTGGTGACAAGTCCAAGCTTCGAATATATTCCATTAACTACAACCCTCTGTTGCCTGTCACTCAGCCACTGCCTTACCCATTCAACAATATTGGAATCCAAACTTAAAGATTGCAGTTTATTGATAAGCCTTCTATGTGCAACAGTGTCAAAAGCCTTACTGAAATCTAGGTAAGCAATGTCTACTGCACCACCCTGATCTATAATTTTAGTTACCCAATTAAAAAAATCAATAAGATTAGTTTGGCATGATCTCCCTGAAGTAAACCCATGTTGTCTCTGATCTTGAAATCCATGTGTTTTAGATGTTCATCAATCCTATCCTTTAACATGGTTTCCATCACTTTCCCCACTACTGAAGTAAGGCTTACTGGCCTATAGTTGCCCGACTCCTCCCTATTACCTTTCTTGTAAATGGGCCCAACATTCGCTAACTTCCATTCTTCTGGGACTACTCCTGTTAACAATGATTGGTTAAATAAATCTGTTAATGGTTTTGCTAGTACACCACTAAGCTCTTTTAACAGCTTTGGGTATATTCCATCAGGTCCCATTGATTTATTTGTCTTTACTTTTGACAGTTGAAATAGAACCTCTTCCTCTGTAAACTCATGTGTAATAAATGACTCATTTATCCTTTTTCTCAACTGAGGTCCCTTTCCTTCATTTTCATCTGTAAATACAGAACAAAAATATTCATTGAGGCAGTCAGCTAGACCTTTATCCTCTTCTACATACCTTCCTTCTTTTGTTTTTAATCTAACTAATCCTTGTTTTACTTTTCTTTTCTCATTTATGTATCTAAAAAAATGTTTTATCCCCCTTTTTTACTGACTCTGCTATTTTCTCTTCTGTGTGTGATTTGGAAACTCTTATAACTTGCTTAGCCTCTTTCTGCCTAATCTTATAGATCATTTTGTCTTCCTCACTCTGTTTTTTTTTATAATTCCTAAATGCAAATTTTTTGTTTTTAACTATTTTGGCCATTTTGGCATAGGTGGTGTAATCCCCACCTGGGATTTTTGAGTGAGTGAATAATCGAACGTATGCAACAACCAGGTTGTGGCCCGTACTTTTTTAGTATTTAGCTGTTTATTGGTCTCTAAGCACTGATCCAACTGCCACTAGCCCCCCCATACATAGCCCACATTCATAGGTATCATATACAATACCACAAACTATTCATGAACATATATGATATAACAGCCCACATATGCACAAATACAAGCTACAAAGCAACTACAACACCCATAAATAACACAAGAAGAATATGACAACATACACACCTCACGCAGGGTCGGTGCAAGTCCAGCTATGTGCCCCCCCTCAAAAAATGAAATTTGCCAACTTTGTGTGACTTTCTTCTCCCAGTCCCTTTGTGTGTCTCTTTCTCTGCCAACTCCTTTGTGTATCTCTTTTTCCCCTTCCCCATCCCCTCTTTGTGTCTCTTTGTACCCCCTAGCCCATCTGTGTGTCTTTGTCCTCACCGGTCGCTCTGTGTGTCTCTTTGTCCTACACAGCCCCTCTGTGTGTCTATTTGTTCCTCCAGCCCTCTGTGTGCCTTCCCCCCTCAGCCCTTTGTTTGCCTCTCTCCCCCCAGTCCTCTGTGTGCCTCTCTATGTGTCTCATTAACCCCCCAGCAACTCCATGTGTCTCATTAACCCCCTAGCAACTCCATGTGTCTCCTTAAACCCCCCAGTCCCTAAATGTGTATCTCCTTAACTCCCTAGCCCCTAAATCTGTGGCCTTAACCCAACTGCCTCTCCTTAACAGTCATGTGACCTTGCCTCAAAAACTAGGACTGGCACGCCAAGGGTATGCAAGATCTTATCCTCGCAAAGTACTTCTAAAAGGTTGCCTACAGCTGCCTTACAGTCACTGCCCCAGCCCCAGCCCCAGTCCTGTAGTTTGAAGCTTCACAATGTTTCACATAGCTACCGCATGAGTGTCTTACATAAAGATGTAAGACAGTAGGAGTTATTAAAATTATTCATGACTGGCAGCACAGTGCTGTGTGACAGAAATTTCACCTTGTCACCACTAGGTCTCTCTGTGTTCAGCAGTCTGCTTGTGTGTATTCAGAATTTTGTATGTATTCAGCAGCCTGTGTGCATTCAGCATTCTGTGTGTATTCAGCAGTCTCTGTGTGTGTTTTTGTGTGTGTATTCAGTGTACTGTGTGTCTGTACTCAGCAGTAGGTACCAATAAATATAAGGTTCATTTTGTCGATAATTGAAATTTTTATTCCTGTGAGTTGTTGTGTAGGAAGGGCCCCAGTGCACTGCTTTGCCCCGGGGCCCATAATGCTGTTAAGATGGCACTGCTTGTGTGTGTCAGTGAGCTTGTCTGTAGTGAGCTTGTATGTGTAAGTAATCTTGTCTGTAGTGATCCTTGTATGTCAGTAAGCTTGAATTTAGTGAGCTTGTGTCAGTGAGCTTCTATTTAGTCAGCTTGTGTGTGTCAGTGAGCTTGTCTGTAGTGAGCCTTGTGTGTGTATACAAATGAGTATGTCTGTGGTAAACTTGTGTGTGAGTCAGAGTTTTGTCTGTCGGTAAGCCTATTTGTGTGCATCAGTGAGTGTGTGTCAATGAACTTGTCTGTCTTGGAGCCTGTGTATCAGTGAGCTTGTGTGCTTACTGTATACCTGTATAATGTATCAGTAAAGAGAGAATTTGAGATGGGAATTTCAAACTTTAGGCCGAAATACTGCAGCTGAATGGGAGAGTTTTTCCAACTCGGGTACTTTAGCCTTAAGTTTAAAATTTACCATCTCAATTCCCTGTAATTTTCTCTTTATTGAGTAGACCCTGTAATCTGCACTATGATAAGTAGGTGGAGATTATGTGGGTTGGACATAGTGGGCGGGGCTTTGCAGCAGTGGGTGTGGTACATTTTCAAGGTACGGTAGTAATTGACAGCTGTGCTGCACATTGTCCCTGGAAATTTTTTAAATGTTGGCAACTATGTAAAATATATTTGATTAAATCCCCTTGCTTAATCAGCCCTCATGCAATCAGGGGCTACTGGGGGAGATAAAAAGATAATATTCTAAACTTAAATTTGGCTGGGGCCAGGAGCTGCTGCTGTACTCTCTCTGTGCTACTTCCAAAATGGCTTCTTACTTCTCTCTCCTTTGGGCACTGTAACCCCACCTCCTAGTGCTATCAGTCAATGATGTTCTGTGAATAAAGAGGCCAATAGAATGCCTCCACTCATAGGCAGCTGGCTCTGCTCCCACATTGACAATTCAATTGAAATTCCTTTTTAAAGGACACTAGGCATGTGTAGAACCTGCTGAAACAGGGCAGATTTCAAACCAGACCCATTATTTAAATATGCCTATATGCTCTCACATAAGCTTCTTCAAACAGCTACCAATGAGGAGGGAGGACCCTGGAGAACTGAAACCTTTTACAGAATTAAACTATTTTTCCCACCTTATTTTTTTGGCTTATCGCCCTTCTCTCCAGGAAAAGAATCCTAGTGTTTCTCAACTACTGCAAATAATTTTTCTCCCCACATATATACTGTTGTGGTGCTGCCCCAAGTGCCCTTATGGATGAGCTTTCACTGGTCCAATCTACAGTATGCTAATTGTTGTCCATCCAACCATAAATATGTCTTTTGAAAAAAAAAAAAGATGTACCGTATATACTCGAGTATAAGCATATTTTTTGTGCTGAAAAACCCCCACTCGGCTTAAGAGTTTACATTGCCACAATACAGACCAGGACCGCCGAGCTCATTACAAGCCCGGCGGTCCTGTTGGGGGCTGGCAGCGAGCTGTTACTTACCTTCCTGCAGCTCCTGTCAGCTCCCTTCTCCTCCGTGCAGCTCCGTTCTGCTTACAGTGTAAGTCTCGCGAGACCCACGGGTGTCGCGAGACTTACACTGTAAGCAGAACGGAGCTCACAGGGGAGCTGCACGGAGGAGAAGGGAGCTGACAGGAGCTGCAGGAAGGTAAGTAACAGCTCTCTGTCAGCCCCCCCACTGAACAGCCAGTGCCACTGGACCACCAGGGATTCAGTATTTTTTTAATATTATTTTATTTTAATAATAATAAAATAATATTATTAAAATAATATTATATTATTTTAATAACATTATTTTATTATTATATTATTATTTTAATATTTGCATTATTTTATTATTTTATTTTTTTAAAATGTTTTTTGTCCCCCCTCCCTGCTTGTTGCCTGGCCAGGGAGGGGGGACAAAAAAACATTAAAAAAAAATAATGCAAATATTAAAATAATAGAATAATAAAATAATATTATTATTTTAATATTATATTATTTTAATAATATTATTTTATTATATTATTATAATTTTAATATTTGCATTATTTTTTTAAAATGTTTTTTGTCCCCCCTCCCTGGCCAGGCAACAAGCAGGGAGAGCGGAAAAAAAACATTTAAAAAAAATAATGCAAATATTAAAATAATAATAATAAAATAATGTTATTAAAATAATATAATATTAAAATTATAATAATATAATAATAAAATAATATTATTAAAATAATAGAATATTAAAATAAAAATGCCCTCCCCTCACCCAGTTTACACACACTGCACAAACACACACACACTGCATTATTTTTTATTTTATTTTTATTTTTTTCACTTTTTGTCAATTTTTATTTTATTGCGGCATATGAAATGGGATACAAAAGAGAGAAAATGGAAATGTATGGTTTGTTCACAGGGTGGGGTTAATACATCGTTAGCATTAGGTACATACATTTCCTCGTTTAATATTGCCACATTTTTTTTTTAGTCGATTAACGAAAACATGTATAAAGCATTTTGAAGGTAAGCAAACAACGGTTATGGTCATGCTATTCGGTAATACAGTCATGTTATTCACCTAGACATTAGTTAATATTTTAGAATCGTCTGAGTGCAGCATGTCTAGAAACTTGTTAGATAGCTATTCAGTGCGAAGCAACCTGCTGATACACTATGTAGGTAGTAAACACGCGATTTCAAGGCAACCAACAAAATATGCGTAAACGTAGCTGTGCAGCATAGACAAATCTGCGGCCCATGGGCACCCACCACGCATCACTTCGAGGGTAACAATGCCTTATTTTTTTTTTTTTTGTGAATATGATTTTTATTCATTTTGCGTATATTAATGTTCGGTGAGACGCGCAGGTCTCCATTGCATGCTATTATAAAAGGTAACAAGTTAGGCTCGCAGGCCCCATCACAGAAGGACTCGCAGGTCCCCATTTTCTGGTATTTACATTTGTTTGGGAATATAAGTTAAATAACGTTTTCATGAACTGGGTGAACATAATGCTTTGTAATCGTCCTTGAACCAGATTAATAAGTCTTTGATTAGGTGTCAGTGTTTGTAGGCTACCCCTATGGCCCCTGTCAACGGCGTCTCACAGGGCCCTGTGTCCTTAGCTATGTGGCATCGTCCGTGGTGGGCTTGTGTTTTCCCCCGTTATTACTATCGGTGTTTCCCGTGTTTAACCAGGGGTATGGTGGTATTGCGGGTAGAGGGTACCCTTACCTTGGGTGTGTAGATACTGCATTAGCCGTGTCATTGCTGGGCCTGTCCAGGGTTACCTCAGGTGTTCGCATGTTTTGGCTTTGGGGTGACGTCCCGGGCTGGTCTGGATGTAAGTACCAGCTCGTGTTTGTTGATCGTTCCTAATTATGGTTTCCCTTGTCGCTATGGGTGTGGTGGGGATGATTCAGTCAATGATGATGCTCGGGTATTTCGAAGGGGGCAAGAGGGGGGGGAATGCGTCTGGGTGGGAAGAAAGGAAGAAGGGGGGGGGTAGTTCCGTCCAGTTCGTCTGTCGGCCATCTAGCGTCGTCTGGGGTGTGTGTTCTGAGTACTATCTGTCTGTGTCGTGGTTTCCGTTAGTGTTAGGCCTGAGTTCTAATTGGAACTCTTCTTTTGCCATCTCTAGAATCCAGTGCGTCCAGATGCTCATGTAGGTAGTGGGTGTAGTGTTGGCCGTCATGGTCAGTTCCTCTATCGACCTTAGTTCTTCCATTTGGCTAAACCAGGTCGAAAGTGGAGGTGTAACTGTTTGTTTCCAGAATTGGGGGAGCACTCGTTTGGCCACGTTAAGTATTCTAATGGTCATGGATTTTTTGTATTTGGATCGGGGAACTGTTGTGTGGTGTAGGAGCATCGCTGCCGGTTCCAGGGGGGGGGGGCGCGTCCGCGAACTTCTCTAGCATTTTGTGTATCCTCTTCCAGTATGGTTGGATCAACGCGCAATCCCACCAGATGTGTTTCGTGGTGCCCACCTCTCGTTCACATCTCCAGCAGAGTCTGGAGTGGTCTGGGTTTACGTGGTGAAGGAGATGTGGTGTCCTATACCAATGTGTTAGAAGCTTGTAGGCCGTTTCCTGTGTTTTGCTGTGAGTGGAACAGTGGTGTGTAAGGTAGCAGATGGTTTCCCATTCTGCTTCTGTTAGTGTGTTACCCAGGGCTGTTTCCCATTTTCCCATGAAGAGTGGTGTCTCGGACGGGGTTTCTGATTGGAGCATGGAATATAAGAAGGACACTCCGTGTGGGAGCGGGTCTGGGTGTGAGCTGACCACTTCTATCGTGGTCTGGTCTCTGGCCAGTGCTGGTCCCTGCGGCAGGGAGTGGACGTAATTGGTCAGTTGGGCATGTCGGAAGCGGTGCATAAAGGTCGGGGGCGTCTCTCCCATCAAGTCCGTTAGTGTTTACATTTCCCACCTTGGAGGAAGTGGTGTAGGCGTGGGGTTCTGTCTGGGAGGATGTGTTTGAGGATTCCAGGGTCCAGACCCGGCGGGAAGTCCTCGTTGTGTGTCAGGGGCAGGAGGGGGGAGGGGTACGGTGCCATATTCCCCTTCTTTGCGGCCTTCCTCCAAACTCTCATAGTGTGTCTCGTGTATATGGACATGTCACCTCTATCGGTTGTGTCTCGGCCCCAGGGAAGCCCCGAGATCGGTCTGCCTGCTTCTGCCTCTTCCACTGTCTTCCATAGTTTGTGAACTCCGTCTTTAGACCACTCCATGATTCTCTGCAGGTGTGTGGCCACGTAGTACTGGTGGAAGTCTGGGAGGGCTAGTCCCCCTTTGTCTTTAGGACGTGTCAGTGTGGAAAATTTCACTCTGGGCCTCCCCCCGTTCCATACGTATTTTATCATTTCTTTTCTGAGTGTGTTAAAGAAGGGGTCTGGTATGACAGTGGGGATGGCCTGGAAGAGGTATAAGAGGCGCGGAAGGAGGGGGCGTGGCCGACAGCCGAGCTATATGGCAGCACACTAGCTCAGCTCCTGAGCAGCACGGACAGAACCGCCGAAAACGGAGGTAACAAACCCACGATGGGCAATCACAAAAAGGCTCACCCTGCTCCCCAGCTCTCCGGGAAGACCCCAGCCGGGAAATCGTGCACTGTGGCCCGTCTATTTAGAGATTATTCCGACCGCACGGCGGACCTCGGGGAATCCAACATGGCGCCGGCGGCAGTAACCGCCGACTCAGATCCTCCAAGCCCCACAGCGTCAGACACATCACAGGTGTCGATGGAAGCAGATATTAAAGGCATATTACGAAATTTGCCCTCCAGAGCTGACCTAGCTCAGATGCTGGGAAAGTTAGAAACTACCTTCCAACAGAAGATGGAAAGCCTCAATTCAGAAATAACTCAGGTAGGCCGCAGAGTTCAGGACCTGGAGGATGAAAGGGGGTCTCACCACACATTAATGCATTCCCTATCAGCTAAAGTCCAAGCCCAAGAAAGGCATTTATCTATGATGCAACGCTCTCTAGACGATATCGACAATAGGGGCAGGAGAAATAATTTACCAGAAGCAGAAGGGGAAAACCTATATAACATCCTGGCCTCGCTTTTCAATCTTATACTTAAGCGCAAGCCAGAATCACCGGTCATCCTGGACAGAGCACACCGTTCCCTTCGCCCCAAAGCAGCGGTCGGCGATGCCCCAAGAGATATTATCTGCCGCATCCACTACTACGCTCTTAAGGCAGATATTTTGAAACACCTCAGGGACACCTCAGGCCCCTTGTTATATCAGGGACACGAAATACAGATCTATCAAGATTTATCTTGGCACACGCTGCAAGCAAGACGAGCCCTACGGCCAATCACCGATCAGCTACGTTCGCGCAACATACGATACAGATGGGGTTTCCCTTTTGCCCTCATCGTAAACACCCGCGGAACCACATATACGATCTCTACACACCAGGACATCGTGCCATTCACCGAAGCATTAAACCTAGCAGAAACATCCATCCTGGATTGGTATGCTCCTGATCCGGCGTTAACAGCACCACCTCAACAGAAGAGACCACGATGGAGATCCCCGGCTAAGAGACAACGGCAGACCCAGGCTGGACTTTCCCAACACTTAGAAGAAGGAGGGCAGACCACAGCTGCTGGACGCTAAATCGCCTCTACTGACACTTTCTAGTAACAACCCCACGATACCCTTCTCTGCACGTCCAATTTTCAAAATAAAGACGCTGGCCTCTACTCCCAGATAGAGCCCACTCACAAGACTTGGACTTACCCCAACAACACGGTCCAGAAAGGGATTAATCACGAATGCCACTACGGCCGACGCTGAAACCTCAGGTCGTATACATGCTTATGTTTTGACCTATGTTTGCTTTCTGTAATTGTGAAATTGACATACACTAATACTATAGGGGTGACCTGCTTAGATGTGACTGTGGGGTTAACAAGTATCTCCCGCCCAAGGGGTACACATATGCAACGCATTGCGCTAGGGAGACAAAGGGACTGACAGACATGGACAAGACTGGCCAGAGAAAACAGCACAGCCCAGACATACTAAAACTCGGTACACGTTACCGTCCAGAGAAGGGGATACTAGACCGACACCTGACATAAAGGGATACCCAAGGGAGGGAAAGGTATTAGGACCCACCTGGACGACTCATACCTCCTTCCCCCATAAAAAGCGCCAGCCGACCTCACCCCCACGCTATCCTATTGCCTTAAAATATATTTACCTCCACAAAGCAATAATAAACCAAGATGCGGTTCAGCTCCAAGCGCCCCAGGAGCCCACTGTATCATACTTAAAAAAATAAAATAAAAAAAAAAGTGCACACGCTCCCTTTCTCCCCCCCCCCACCTACATCAGGGTCATCTCAACCTTGCCTACTGTAGACTACGGGACTTCTCAGGGGCAGACCCTAGGTATTTATATTCCTATAGTTGCCAAAGAGCAACACCGGTAACTTAACGTCATCATCTATTGTATATAGTTTTGTTTTGTTTTGTTAAAATTTGTATATCGCATTGACATTGTGTAGTATTGCAACACCTTTTGGTGTAAGAATTTATACAACGCCAGCCAAATATCTGGCCTGTCGAATACACGCAGGGTACGCATCACGCAACATCCATAGATATAGACTACAAACACACACCCCACACGACCATAGTAACCCTTTTACACACCACCCTCCCCCAAATCTCCAGCCATGGCAACAATTTCCATACTCTCACACAATGCTAGGGGGCTGAATACCCCCGAAAAGTGCCACATGGCCCTCACGGACTACCATAAATCAAAAGCGGAAGTGGTGTTCATACAAGAGACACACTTTCGTAAAGACTCAGCACCATCACTAAAATCCAGACACTACACAAAGGGATACTTTAGCAATTATGTAGGCTCGAAGTCACGGGGAGTGGCGATTCTCCTTTCCCCGCATCTACCTTTCACATACAAAGAACACACATCTGACGACAATGGGAGATATATCTTTCTGAAGGGCCTGATGGGCACAACCCCAATAACCCTAGCCAACATATATCTCCCCAATAGGAAACAATTCCAAGCCCTACGTAAGATAATCAAGCAGCTGATACAATTTACTGACGGCATGTTGATTTTAGGAGGCGACTTCAACATCTCCCTAGATGGAGTATTAGACACAACTTCACAAGCCTCCACATACCAAGTCTCAACACGGGTGCAAGTCCAGAAACTTTTGGACTCGCATCAGCTCTATGACTGTTGGCGCGTCTTACACCCCGCTGAGCGGGACTATTCCTATTACTCATTCTCCTCGTGCTCGTATTCGAGAATTGACTTATTTCTTCTCCCACACAGATTTCTGAACTTAGTCCACTCCTGCACATACGATACAATCACGTGGTCCGATCACGCACCAATCTCCCTCTCACTTCAGATTCCCTCCCTACATCCCACTCGGACACAGTGGAAACTGAATGATACCCTACTTAACCATACCACTATCCGGAACCAAGCCGAATCCTCCCTGGAACAGTATTTCGAGCTCAACACACACCCAGTATCCACCTACCCCATCATTTGGGAAGCACACAAGAGCACAATAAGAGGTACGTTCATCCAGGCAGCCTCTAGACTCAAAAAATCGAGGGAATCTCGCACACTTAGTTTCACTAGAGAGATTAGGCGCCTAGAGGAAATACACAAAAACGATCTCAATCTCACCACATTTAAGACACTGATCGAAAAAAGGACCGAGTTAAATACAATTCTCGACATCAATACCAAACGCTCCCTAGCCAAGACAAGATGCACATACTACACACACGGGGGTAAATGCGGGCGCTTGCTGGCCCATGCACTAAAGAAACAACGGGAACATACATTCATAGCGGCCATACGCACGAAGGAAGGTAAACTGTCACACTCAATGACTGACATACTCGCAGAATTCAAAGATTTTTACTCCTCGCTATACAATTTAAGACAAAGCCCCCCAGCGACAGCAGACATCCGAGATTTCCTATCTCGTAGGATCCACAAAGCCTTACCACACAATCTACGAGAATCCCTAGAAAAACCTATTTCCACAGACGAATGCCTCCAAGTAATCAAACAGCTTCCACTAGGGAAAAGTCCAGGCCCTGACGGACTCACTGCCAAATATTACAAGACTTTTGCTCCTCTGCTCATACCCCACTTCCAAAACACGTTCAATGCTCTACTCAAAACGGACACTCTCCCCCCACAGGCCTTGAACGCAACGATTACGCTACTTCCCAAATCAGGGAAAGATTTAACTCAATGCGGCAGTTACAGGCCGATCTCCTTGATAAATATTGACTTAAAATTATTCACAAAAATTCTGGCCAACAGACTCAGACCGCTGCTACCAGGACTGATACATGGAGACCAGTCAGGTTTCATCCCCGGCAGGGAAGCCAAACACAACACCACAAAACTGCTAAACCTCATACACAAAGCAACGAGAGATGGATGCCCCAGTTTGCTCCTGTCCATTGATGCCGAAAAGGCGTTTGACAGGGTAGATTGGACCATGTTATCACACACTTTACAATACATGGGGTTCGGTCCAAATTGGCTCAAATGGTTCAATGCAATATACTCACACCCCACGGCGCACATTAGGGTCAATGGCCAATTGTCAGAACCAGTGACGATAAGGAACGGCACCAGACAGGGATGTCCCCTGTCGCCCCTCCTATTTGTCCTGGTACTGGAGCCCTTCCTTCAGGGTATTAGAGACGAGACCTCGATTAAAGGCATCACAACGGGCACAACGGAATATAAGATAGCAGCGTTTGCAGACGACATGCTTTTCACAATCTCAGACCCAGTGTCGTCAATACCTCACCTAATGGCAGAAATGGAATCATTTAGCAAGATTTCCAATTTCAAGGCCAACCTCAGCAAATGCGAGATACTGCCGCTAAACATTTCCCCTCTCGACGCAGACATTATACAACGAACACATCCATTTGTTTGGTCGACCCGCACGATAAAATACCTAGGTATTCACTTAACCAAAGAGGCATCCCACCTATTTGAGAGTAACTTCCCTAGTTTGATGAAAAACATACAATCAGATCTCAACACCTGGAACAAACCTCAATTTGGATGGTTCTGCAGGCTGAACATTCTCAAAATGAATGTTTTGCCACGACTCCTATATGTTATGCAGGTATTACCAATTACTCTACCTAAGTCATGGTTCACAACGGTCCGGAAAACCCTTACGACTTACATCTGGGCACACAAGAACCCAAGGCTGGCCTACTCACTCCTCACACGACCAAAGGACGAAGGGGGCCTAGGCCTCCCAGACCTAGAGAGATATCACCAAGCAGTCCTTCTGACCAGACTGTATGACTGGACACACCAACACCCTACAGCACAATGGATACACATAGAAAATACCTTCTTCAGGACTCCCATTTTCACAATACCATGGCACAAATCAGGACTGCCATTTTTATTGCACTCCCCACATCCCACAATCTCACCAACCTTACGAATGTGGGCCAAGATAAGGACTCACCAGACAATGTCACCTTACCCTTCCCCGTTATATCCAATAACACACAACCCTCTCTTTCAACCGGGAGAGGATGGGAGGGCATTTAAGCAATACCATGACTCACACTACCTACGCCTCGCCGAGGTTGTAGACGACACGGGAACCCAGGTGAAACCATTGCAAACTACAATAGAGGGTCAGACTGTACTGCAAACATTTCAATACAAACAACTCTCACACTTCCTAATCACAGGGCCACTGGCACATAATCCTGTCCGTCCTTACACACAATTAGAAACACTTTGTAAAGAACATACCTTAAAGAAGAAAGTCATATCAGAGATGTACACAAAGATCGCTAAAACAATGCCTCACCATCCACCGGCCTTTACCTCGTCCTGGGAAAAAGGAACTAAACACATCTTTCACACCAGAAACGTGGCGCGCCATATTCACACATATCCATAGGTCCTCTAGAAACACCACAACCCAAGAGAGTAACTACAAAAGGGTAGTGAGATGGCACTACACCCCGACAAAATTACGATCCCTATTTCCAACACACCCCCATCAATGTTGGAGGTGTCATGCACCCGAAGGCAACACCGCCCACATCTGGTGGTCTTGCCCGGTGATCCAACACTACTGGAAGCGCATACATGGGGCGATACAGTCGATTCTATCTACGCATGTCCCCTTTACCCCGGAACTTTTTCTATTCCTGATCACCCCCCGAAACATACCAAAATCGACAGCAGGCCTACTGACACACCTGATTTCTGCAGCGAACCAACTTATTCCAGCACTATGGAAGCACCCACATTCACCATCCATCCGAGAATGGATACAAAAAGTCGACACTATTAGGGGTCTAGAGGAGACATGCCTCTCCCTCACAGACAAATACTCCACATACACAACCACATGGCAGCCATGGTGCGACTATCTCAGCAACACTCATGGTCACCTGGCACCCTAGAGTCAGACAAGCACCCCAGTATGGAAACCCGGTTTTTCCTTTCTTGGATCACCAGATACAACTCTGCTCGTCTGATACCCACGTTGAGAAAGCGACTCAGCCTTAATTAGAGTTGCCAATTAGAGTCCGGGGAACAACGAC